GGATCTCTGTGAGTTCGAGGCCAGCCTGGGCTACCAAGTGAGTTCCAGGAAAGGCGCAAAGCTACACAGAGGAACCCTGTCTCGAAAAATCAAAAAAAAAAAAGGTATGAAAAACAAATAGTAAAATAAAAGTAACAGGAGCGTCTCTTTTAGGTGCCTGGTCCACAGAACAGGGGTCATCCAGCCTGCATGACTACTGAGTTCTCACAGTAGACGTCCTCCAGAGAGCACCTGGCTCAAGGGATGTGCTTGAAGGATGTGTCGGAACTTTCACCAGCCACACACACCCCCTGCATGTTCTCCTTCCGCCTCTCACTGTTACCAGTTGCCTTCGTGGGTGGGAAACTGAGGCATGCTGAGATTTAAGTGCTTGCCCTAAAGTCATCAAGCCACTGAGTAGAGTCAAAAGACGTACCCAAGTCATGCAGTAAAGTCTTAATTCTTTCCATTCTATTTCCTACCTGGAGAAAGCTGGTCTTTGACCCACCCAGAGCCTGGCCTTAGAATTTCAAGGAGGGAGATCACACTTTCCTAAAAGAAACTTGCATGGGCTGGTCCAGACTGATTCCACCTTGAACTCCCCACAACTGAGTCTAAGCAGGTTTTGGTGCCAGGCAACAGGGAGTAACAGACAGGGAGAAAAAAACCTGTTTGGTTCATTGAAGATGCTCTCTGGATCCAGGCTTGGAGGCTTTCCCTGCATCAGGGGCCCTTTCTCTGTAGCTGGGAGGTCTTCCCCAGGGACTGGGTATCTTTGAAGCAAGGGTCTACTTCCCCACAATGCCTCTCTAGGTCCCCTAAGTCCAGGAGGTGGGCACCCTCATCACCTACCACCAGGGATGCCCAGTACACACAAAGTCCAAACCCTACAAGATCTGTTCTTAGACTGGCCTTTTTATTCCTCTCCCTGGAGACAAGCTTCAAAGCCTTGAGAAGCTATCTCCCCTGCATAACTCACGTGGATTCCAAGCAGAGGGCACCTTAATATACTCTCAGTCATCTCTGGTGGACATCTTGACACATCCTGACATCCCAGAGGGACCCTGCTTCCTCTCAGGACAAATGACAGACAACTTGACACTGAAGACCCCATGTGAGCTCCTATACAGCCAAGGCACCCTTGTGTTCACAGCTGTTTCCATTCGTAGGTACTAGACAAGGGACAGGGAGGGGACATCAGACATGTGTTCCCACTGGGAACCCTCCTGCTTGTAGATGTGAGCACAGCTATGTTTTGAGATCACATCAGCCTCAACCCTGGTGTGTGATTCCCACTGACTTTGGGAAGGAGAGAGCCTGCCGCCTCGGGATATCTCCTTGGACACTGTCCAACCCGCAGTCCACCCCTGCCTGTCAAGCCGCCATGAGGAAAGTGGCTCAGTCCATGCTGACAAGACAGCTTCAAACTTGACTCACTCTAATTGATTTGCTTATTTGTTTCTATTTTTAAAAACTGATACACAAGCCTTCTGGCTCTGCCATGCACATAGGCATGCCCGCAAGGAACCATGGTTTCTCAGAACATAGTTGGCAGCGTCTTCATAGAGGTTGCTACTAGAATAGAATGGTACTATAAAACATCATTAAATACAAATTTCAGGCAAACAACGAATAATAGTCTAAGTATGTCCCATGCTGTGTATGGACCATACTTAACACTGTAAAATTCCATTCGTGTTGTTGTTATTGCTGTTGTTTTCCTAGAATTTAAAATTAGCGAGGAATCCTGCCCTTGTATCCCGAACCTGGCAACCCTACCAAAGGCTGCTTATTTTAGGTGTACAAAGATGATGGAGCAGAGGGATGCTGCACATTAAGGCATGCCCCCGACTCCGCAGGGGCCCTCTGAGAACTGCCTGCCTCTCACTCATCCGCTGCACATCCATCCTGGGAACAACTGAGTCGCCGGTGTCACTGATGAGTAGCCTGTTGCTAAGCACCCATCCACAGATGTCTTTCTCTCCCCTTCTCTCATCCCCATCTCTGCCATGACTTCCTCGTTCTCTCTTCCTGTTTCCCATCCAGGTCACTCTGCTCTCCCCACCTCAGATGATCCTACACTGTTACATCCTAATTGGGGTCTTCCAACCTCCAATCCACTGCTGCCCTGAACAGTGCCCTGCCCTGGCTCCCTGCTACCCAAGGACACAGGCTTGTTCCTTAGCTCATGTCCGATCTGCCTCCTACCCTGCTTCCCTTCCGAGTCTTCTTCCCAGTTCTCGTCCCTCAACAGCTTCAGGACCTGTGCCCTCTTTACACTCTGGAACGCCCACCCTCCTCCTCTGCACAGATAGTGCTTCACACATCCATCCTTCTCTGTACTTATTTCCCTCAGCAAAGTGTCCCTTCTGTGCATTTATTGGCTGGTTCACTATCTGCCTCTGTACCTTACCCCCACTATTGTATAACAGCAGGACAAGTGGGGACCTTGTAGCTCAAGGCCTGTGGCGAGTAGGGAGCTGTAAGACCTATGCTCCAGAAATGCTGTTGAATGAACACAAGTCTTCTAGGAAGCCATGGCAGATTTCCCCCACAGCTGTTATGAGCCACGTTCAGAACCTACACAGCGCAGCTAGTGTCTCACTGTCCTGGTCACTTCTGGGGAATCATAGAGTGTATCTTATTGCTCCCACTAGACTGCACGTTTCTGCAGGACCTCATTTAGAGCCTTCTGGGTAAATCAAATGAACTCCGCATTTTTGCAGTGCTGGGGAGCAAACCTCAGGCCTCAGATAGACCAGGATCTACTTCCTGAAGTCCGTGTTTTGAATGAAGGCATCTGTGAATACATGAACAGGTGCAGACCATTTGGCTGTGTCCCTGGGCTGACAGGAAACTGTAAGAACATCAAGGTGCAGCACTTTCAGCATGAGCTTTAGAATAAGCCCCTAGCTCTCCCTCCAGGCTGGGCCCCAGCCACAGCTTCATTCCCTAGTGTTGCTATAGCTTCCCTGGATCTCAGCTATAAACAGCAGCCCTGCTGCTAGGAACAGGCAACGCCAACTCTGGCATGACCCATCCAGAGCAGTAAAAGGGGCAACGTCATCCAGTTCATGAATAGATTCCTGGTGTCCCACGTGGGGCTCGGTGGAGCATAAGGGTGATGGGGGTAATGAACAAGTTGGGCAGCATTTCTCATGGGTAGTTACTAGAAGGACAATCAGGTTTTTTCTAGTCCTGTCCTGGAGCATCAAAGAGACACATGCCCACTCCATAGGCCACTGGTAGCTCCACTGTCCCAACAACATGACCACCACCTCCCCTCAGTCAGTGAACTTGGCCACTGGGGACTGAAGAGGAAAATCTCCAAGAGATGCACTGTTTTCTCTCCAACACATGTTCATCCTAAAGTGTTTTGTTGTGTGATATTTTGTTTTTATTCTGACAAATAC